TGCACGCGTCTCATGGTACTGCTGCCGCGCAGTGTGTGCACGCGGCTCATGGTGCTGCTGCCGTGCGGTGTCGTGCGTGTGCGCGGTGCGTGCTGCCGTGCAGTGCGTGTGGTGCGCGCTGCGCGCCATGGTGCCACTACCGTGCGGTGCCGGGCGTGTGCGCAGTGCGTGCGGTGCACGCTGCTGCCTGGCGGTGTGTGCTGCGCGCTATCGGCGGTGCGTGCTGCTGTGTGGCGCTGCCAGGCGGTGCTCGCTGCTGTGCGTGCTGCTGCCTATGACTGTGCCGCAGTGCGCTGCCGGATGGTGTGACCATAACATTACACCCCTCTCGGACTACGAGCTTGTCCTCAAGCTCGTATTTCGGATACATGGCTTGGGACTCTGCGAATGGATCAAACGGTTGCACACTATTTCTCAGTCCACCAACAGTATGAACAACAGGGACTGCCCCGTCTCTCAGTGCATAACGCTGGATTATTTGATGCAGACCCCAACCACCTTCTTTAGTTTCCAGCTCCCAGGCGTAACCATGTTTTACAGTGACTACACGCTCTGCTGCACTTAGGCCAGCCGCAAGGACATTGAGTGTTCCCTACCTCCTGGGTCATATAGTTTGAAGTAGTTTTGTGGAAGATCCACATAACAGAAATCACATACTGGACCACGACCCCGGTGTGCTATGTTGTGGATCATAAGAATGCACCGGGTATGCGTACAGTAGAGGACCTCAAAAGCGGCTTTACCGAAGAGAACCATGCGTTTTAAAATATCCTCTCGGCCTTCCCCATATATATTTTCCTCAATATTACGAAACATAGGGCTGTCCATGAACACAAAATCTATGCCATCAATATAAGCTTGGAAGAAAATTACCTCTATATCCTGCCCCTCCACCTTACATCTCTTGCGCACTTCTGTTTCTTGGATTTCTGTATAGTTACCATACGGTGGTGCCGCAACCATAACTTTATGTCCACGTTGAGCCAAGGCCTTCGGTAAAGCCCCAGCAACATTGCCAAGCCCACCTGTCTTCGTCAAAGGAGCGCATTCTGAGGTTCTACTATAATGTTTGTGACATCGTCCCCGGCCAAAGGAGGAGACTTTACATTTTCATCCTCCGTGCGCTGATCCTTGGAAATAACTGCGGCTGTAGGGGCAGCGATCTGTTATTCGTTGCATGCCTTTGCCCAGTCTGGACGGCGTCTGTTCTTTTTGGCGATTCCCTCCGAACTCATTTCTTTGATGGAGAGGAATGCTTCCAGCAGGCGTCGCATCTCCCGGACGTCTTCCTTGACTTCACGAACCTCCATGCTGGTTTCTGCAAGTTGGTGTTCCAGTTCGTGGACCTTGGAAGACAGCTGCTCCATATCGCCCATGACGTTTGGCTCTGATACCAATTTGTTATGGTCCCGCGCGTAGGTTCTCGTCACGGGTTGGTCCACGGTGCGGAAACTGAATGGGTGATTTGTCCAAGAGACCACCCGAACTTTCCTCACTCTTTTCTTGACTGCGAAAACTGAATGCTTTACTTCAATTCGTTGCTCCTTAAATAGGAGATTACCAAAGGAAATTCCTAATTAAACTCAAACTCCAACTTGAACTCAAACTCCTAATTACCTACTCCTATTGGTAACACACTCTTACTTAAGATAAGATAAAGATAAGGATAAGATAAGATGAGGGATAAGGGATAAGATAAGGATAAGGTAAGCTGGCGGCGAGTTGGCTTGACATGTCCAGATAAGGATGGGCCCACCCCTGTCGTGTGGGCCCCGCTCTGCTGCTGCTGCCGGGTGCGTGCGCGCGGCTCATGGTGCTGCTGCCGCGCAGTGCATGCGTGCAGTGCTGCTGCCGCACAGTGCATGCGTACAGTGCTGCTACCGCACAGTGCATGCGTGCGGCTCATGGTGCCGCGTGTGCGCGGTGTGTGCTGTCGTGCAGTGCGCGCTGCTGCCTGGTGGTGCGTGCTGTGCGCCATGGTGCCACTGTCGTGCGGTGCCGGGCGTGTGCGCGGTGTGTGCTTCCGTGTGGTGCGCGCTGCTGCCTGGCGGTATGTGCTGCGCGCTATCGGCTGTGCGGCGCTGCCAAGCGGTGCCCGCTGCTGTGTGGCCTGCTGTGCGTGCTGCTGCCTATGACTGCGCTGCCGGATGGTGTGACCATAACAAAGAAACCTTCTAATAAGGTAATGTATGTATTACAATCCAGAAGGATTTGTTATGTGACATCTCAGACTTGGCATGGTTATGGTGGGTTATGTTAACTTTACCAACTAGTAATCGATGGATTTTCAAGTTTATTGATTCGCCATCGTCATAATCACTATCTAAGCATTTTTCCAACTTCACATGAATAGGTTTGGTCATTCTGTTCTGTTACTGGTAACCAATAGCCTYAGGAGTTGATTCCGATTCCAGACCCCTATTCTCATGAACCAAATGGGAGCCTAATTTCTTTCTTTATTCATAAGATAATTTCAGGAGAATCAACTCTTTCACCCGAGGCTGTGTTTGGAAACGATGCAAATGGAGTGTAAATTCCGGTTCAGGGTAAATTTGCATTCTGCTTCATTTTTTGCCTGTATTTGATAATATTACATTTATGCATTCACAATGACAGATTAATGAATATTTACATTGATAATAAGATGTAAAAGTACATCAATAAAAAAGAAGTAAATTTGCATTCAAGTGTGCTTTTGATAAAAAAAAAGCATATACTTTATTGGAATTCATGTTTGCATCTATTACAGGCTTACAGCTAAAAGTCTGTTTGGTAAGAAGATAAATTTGTTAGTGCAAAACTAACCTGCCTTTACAATTTATATGAACCATTTTACAGTCTATATATTTAAATTCACACTTATTTACATCGGTTTGATGTGGACCACTGCTTGGACATAATTTTAATAGAGAGGTGTGATAGGTTTGATGTGGACTGAAGGAGGAAAACACATGGCCACTGGCTAGTCCAGAGGATACCTTATTTAATGGCTAATCTTCGGTGGTGTTTGAAACCAATGTCATTCCTCAGGTATTTTCTCAGCAAAAATGGTACTGCATATGCATGCCATTTTCTCAGAAAAGTTTTTTTTTTTTTCAGGTTTTCTATTTGGTACCATTGCTGATACTGCCATATAGGTGTTTTTCAATATCATGTCAACATGCTACACCTTTTCTGATTTCTAAGGCGTGGCCTGAGAAAATGTTTTTCAGAAGAACGGCTTACCAGACATTCGGTGTTTTCCCCCCAAACAAAAAAACAGATTTCAGATGTAACACTGACGTGATAAAAAAAGGGCATTGATGCCAAACACCTACAGTCTTGATTGGTTGTGCCATTCATTCATGTTGCACAAGTAGGTAGGATCGTCTACAACAGTGGGGCTGAACCCAAATCTGCAGGCCAGTGTTCACTCGTAATTGATTACATAGCCTATTGTACGCAACTGTGCGAACAGCAGAGCCTGAGTGATATTTCTACTCCATACGATTAGGATTCTTTGTCCTAGTCCTAATTCTCCAATGAAAAAACATTTATTAGCATCTACTAATTTCTGCCTGTGCATCACATCAAGCACTTGCAGCTTTGAAATGGCTGATTCATTTGGTTGTTCTTGTATAAGAATTGAATAGAGAGATAGAAGACAAGGAATGGAATCTGTTGCTTGCCATCTCCATCTCCCAAACAATTTTTGCTTTTCATAATGTACGTATTGACTAATACTTAACAGTTCAGCAGGATCCCAAGAAGGCCAAGTTGACATCAAGTCTGTTTTACTTTTAAGCAGAGAAAAGAACAAAAAAAAACTAATTCTGGTGGGCGATGATCATTGCAAATTCAAACTTAAAAAACGACTTTTCTCTTTAGAGATTCAGAATCACCTGAATTGGTTATCTGGAAATATAACATCTAAATTCTACCAATATTTTTGACAATCGGACAGAACTGTGGTTGACGCTGAACTGGATACGGATTTAACCAGGATTGAATCACTTTCCAGCTCCCAACCAAATAGAGCCACCCGGATATGGTAAGGATCTGTTTACTTTGGACAAAATCAATTGAAGCACAGGCAAACCCGGGTTGAATCACAGTCTAATTGCAGACTCGGGCCCTTTCTGGTTTGACATCCACAGTCCAGTTTTCAAAACGTTTCATTCTTCTTCATCATCCAAAAATTGCTTCTTTATGTGTAAACCGGCCTAAAGGTACCATGAGTCCACATGTCTGCTCTTCTGTGTGTGGAATTAAACACCAACAACAACCAAAAGAGTAGCTTACTAATATTTGCATGCATTTAACTAAGGAGTCCACACTCCATTTGGCATAATATTGTCAAAGTACAATACCTGATAAACCCACTAAAACTGTGTTTCCTGTCAAAGACATACAATCACATAATCCATTTCAAAGTTCCACATTATGGAAACAAATATCAAGCGGAGGCAGCTGCTTCTTCCTGCAGTTGCTTGACCTTGGTGATGTAATCGCTCATTGCTTCCTCCTGTGATTTTCCTGTCAAGAGTAGTGAATGTGATGAGAAATTGAATACATCCCATAAGAAATATAAGGCCAACTAAATATTCTGAGTTACATCTCGTACCTTCAACCGCCTTCCATGCATCCCACTTTGCTCTGTCCCTCATATTGAACAACCCAGGGCGGCCTGCAGAATAGATGGAGAAATTAATAATTGAAGAATAATCAAGGATCAAAGAAATGGGTAACTGTGTTTTATGCCTGCCTTGCAGATTTACTCAAATGGGTTGAAACTCTGGCTTGGAAAAATAAAGGTGTCAAATCCATTATTGACAGGAATTTATTTTCAGTGGTGTGTAATGATAAACATAACACATACTGGTGTTCACAGGTCCAACAGTTGCTTGTTTGTAGAGTCCATAAAGGATGAGCTTATTCTCATTTGTTGTGGTCTCAGGAAGGGTCTTGGCCTTCTCAGCATACTCTTCAAACTCTTCCTGCAAGGGAGCCAAACAATTCCATGTAGAATATCAAGCTGTTAGACGAATGTTCTCAAAGCATAAGATGTAAATCTGAAGTTTGTTTACACAAGGCAGGAAATAAAATTAAAACACAATCAGCAATTAAAATTCGTTTTTATATAAAGTGGCTTTTGATTGTCTTTTTTTAATGGATTTTATTACCACCAAAAATTAAACGCCTCTACCAAATATACAATTTTTGATGTCATTTAGCTGTGTGAATGACAAAATTAGTTGTGTTGTCAACTTAATGTCAATATCATTGTTGTTTTATCTTTATCTGTATGAATGACAAAATTAGTTGTGTGTCAGTTACAATTGTTGTTGTCATTCATGTAGCCATTGACATGGTTCTCAAAAACAGAGTGGAATCCATGTTCCCCAATGCCCCAAAAACTTGAAAGTAGTGGACAGGTATTTTTCTCACTCCTCCCCCACTTAAAAAAAAAGAGAAAAAAATTAAGAAAGAAAACTAGTATATTCCCTAAAAAGAATCAAACAAGGATATATGGCTGTGCCACACCTTTCATGAAACTTTAGGGTCTCTTTGGTTCGCAGCCGGAATTGGAATCAAAATCTCTTGGAATCGGAACCAGAATGGTCCATCCCCATAGTCTGTTTGGTTCAAACAGGAATCAGAATCAGAATTGTTATAAGATGGAATGGGATTTCATTTCTGAGGAGGGGGAGGGAATGGCCATTCCCTCAAATGGAGGAATGCCATTCCAGCAGAAATGGCCCCATTCTGATTCCACCAACCAAACAATTGAACCCATTCCAATTCCAGACTCCTATTCCAGTGAACCAAATGGGTCCTTACTCTAGAAAATAGATGTGTTTGCATGGAGTTTCAATGGGCTCCACCACTTCAAATAACAAATAGCACTGCAATGGAATTTTGCGTTTTCATAAATTATCAATCTTGCTAATAGATGTTCGTTATGCTTAATATGAACAATATGAAAAACTGTCACAATTTGGTCTGGATCAGGGTCAAAGGCACCAAGTCATAAGTTTCTCAGCATTAACATATATGCATGTTCAGACAGATAGATGAGGCAGGTCTCATTTACCACTTTCACATGGCAACTTGATAATTCCAGTTGTCCTGGAGAGCACTTGATAAAAAAAAAAAAAAAAAAAAAAATCTGTATTCAACTTGGTTAAGTTACATTATTTTATTGCCTTCACATTAGGGGTTCCTAATCAGATCTCAACCCAATTAAAAAACTCACCTCTTTCTCTCATATCTCAAAATAAGAAAAAATCGAAAACCCTCAAAAGAATAAAATAGATGTTTTATAACAAGGTTTGGAAAAGTTCAAGTCAACACAGGTGAAACCCAATAAGAGTCAGTCCTTGACATGGCTTCAAAAGAATTTGGAGAAACTCTTACTGACTCTATCTATTCTACTTGAAATAAACGCATCCCACTTCTATCCTAAAAGGCTTTCCAAGAGTAGTTCAACAGGCAATGTTGTGTACAGAGGAAAGACAAGGTCAAGTGATCAGACTACCTCCTTGTCCATCAACCCATTCTGACTGTAAATTTCAAGGTGCAAATCTCAAGCCAACTATAGAAGAATTCAACAAAGAACAATACACCCAATTGACACGCAGAAAAGTTCAACAAACTTGCCAACTCTATAATTCTGTCCCCCAGATTCTATGTTCTAATTTGTTCATCAAGTACTACACAACAATTTCTTAACTTCGATAAAAAATCTGCATACTTCAATTAAACATTTTCTCGACAGAGGCAACCTCGTTCGTAAACTTTGCATTCAAAGATTAAAAGTTCAAGTCTTTAACTAATAACATTGGGATATCAGTCAGAACAGAAACAACATGATATCATGATAAAATGCCTTTCTGATCTCAGGTATAATGACAACTCCTACCAATCCAAAGAAACTTTTATGCGATCAAACATAAAAAATAAATGATTTATTCCAGAAATTAATAACAAAGAAACCAAAACACGGAATCTTCGAACATAGCATATAATAGAGGATAAGAGCTAGAAATTGATTGCAACACAATAAGAGCAACATGGATGGATAGATTGAGAAGTAATTAAAACAGGAAAAATGAACAAACCTTCAAGCCCATCTCGTCTTTCTTTCTGCTTCACTCGTAAGCCAGAGATGAGAGAGAGTTTGTAGGCAGTATGCTCAGTGTGTGGAAGCAGGGGAGGAATAAATAGAATGGCAGTACGAAAGTAACCTGGGATTTCATCATAAATACGTCAATGCCATTTTCAGAGTTATATTGACTTGTCTAGGAGACGAGGTTCTACACGGCTCGTGTTGCTGCGGCGGATATTTTCATAAATAAGGGAGAAGATGCTCAAACCACCACTTGCATGAATCCAACTATTTATTTTCTTGGGTTTCTAAAACAACAATCATCGGTAAATTACAAAGATTCTCATAACTTTCACTTTCCAATAAATGTCCTCACTGAGTTCTGTCAATTAGCTTAAAAAGAGATTTTCATTTAGCTGTTTAAAAATTTTTAAATCTCTAAATTATTATTTTTTATTTTTTTCTAATGATTTATGATTGTATTAGCTTTCTAAATATAATATTGAATCCTCTCGGCTTCGGTTATTTTAATAGATCCTTATAGATTTTTAGTTGGATTCAATATTTAAATGAAATGGTAGAGGTTTCTAGCTAGCATGGATGATGATTCCTCACACCTGATTTTGTGAAAATCGATGATTGCTGAAAAATCACTCTTTTTTGTTTTTGTTTTTTTGTTATTTGGTATTCCTCTATGTCAGCAGATTATTTAGGAATCATTTTTAAGATTGTTTGGTATTGATTTTCAAGAGATGATTTTTAGAACACTTTCTTGTTGTTGCCACATAAGATGCCACCTCACCCAACAAAAATGGTGATTCCTCACCCAAGCCAATATTGGGGATCTATATTTTGCTGATTTTCCAGAAATCGACATAATCAGCCAACCAAACAAAGAAAAAAAAATCATTGGTTCTTCAATTTCTGATGTGGCACGGATTTCTGGAAAATCATCATCCATGCCAAACATCATGTAAGATTTTGTTTGTTTTTATTGATTTATTGGAGAAAATAGTGGATGGTTTTTATCTTTTAAGATGAAGAGAGAAATTCATGTTAGTGAAATGAAACAAGAATTTAAAGAAATTTGTTTTTTTAGTCAATGAAATGATTATTGTTATTTTATTTGGTTTTGTTTTGGATAAAATGAGTTTTTTTGGGGTCAATTAGGGTTTAAGAGGAAAAGGGTGAGGAGAAAAAAGAAAAGTTCATATGGGCATTTTGGCATTTTAACCAAGGTTCAAATTTTCGATATGTTATGCCCGTATCAGGCATGTCATACCATATCGCTGGTCCGATACACCTATTTTATAAGTGCTTCGGGAAACCCCCTTCTTTTTAATAAAAAGTATAGTTAAAAACAAGCCTAAGAAACAAATTTAAAAAAAAAAAAAAAAAAACTAAGAAAACACAAAGGCGTGTGGTTTAATTACTGATAAGCCTCTGCTGATACATAGTAGTATAGGGGTCTTTGTAATTTACCCAAARATGTTTCTGTGTAAATTGTAGTTTACCACCTTATAATTTAGTTATAGTGACACTTGACCACCTAAACTTTGGGTTGCAGTTAGAATAGTTCCACCCCTTAATTTCAAATTCTAATACTTTGCCCCCTTCAGATTCTAATACTTTACCCCTCCCCAAACTAAAGAAAAAAACCCTAGACTGCCCTTAATACAATTTTGTAGAAAATGAAAAATGAAGGAAAAATAAAAAATTGTAAAAAAATGCAACAGATACAACAAAAAATAAAGAGAAATGAAAAATAAAATAAAATTCAAAGAAAACATAAAATTACCAAAAATATAACAAAATAAAGAAGAAAATACAAAAGCACTTAATTAAAACTGAAAAATAACAAAAGCACAACAAAAAGGAAATTGAAAAAATACAACAAAGCAAACAAAGAAAAAGAAGAAATTACAAAAAGACAAAAGAATATAGAACTTCATATGGATATTCTCATAATTTTTTTTCTCACATGCTAAACCCATTAACAGGGTGAGAGAAAAGTGCTAAAATTTGGTAGTTCAAGATGGGTCTTTGTTGCAAATGAAGATATAGTTTACCTAAAGTCCAGGTTTGATATTTTTTGAAGGATTATTTACTAAGATGTTCCCTATGATTTTGCCTATTTATTAAATTAAGATCTACCCTTTAGTTTGCATATTACTAATACATCCCCATTACTTTGATAATACAGGGTGTTTGGTTCTTTGGACATTTATTAAAAAAACATTGCCACATTAGTAACATTTGGGCATTTGCATTTATGACCATTGTTTGGTTTTAATATTTATCAAATAATAAACATTGAAAAGAATAAATGCTTGGATTTATGTGCCTGAGCCGTTGGGGTAAACTTCAAATTCTTGTTTCCCCCAACAACCCAACGTTTACTGAAATGTATTGCTTACTTGAGCTGATGTGATATCTTCAATGGAAGAGTTAAAGACATGATCCAGTGCATCGTGGGTCCATCTTGCCCTATGATAAGGAATTTTCCCTTTTCATCAGTACCTTGAACTTTAGGGGTTGTGTCAAATCAGTACCCCAATAAGAATGTGTTTAATAGGCTCCTGTTGTTAACGATCTGTCAATTAATTTTGGAAATGTCAAAACTATTCATCAAGTGTTATCTAATTTTCTTTATCTGCCACTTCCATATAAACCAATCTAAACAAACTCCTTCCATTTAAATCATGATTCCAGTAGACTATGCCGTCATTTTTCACCTTGATTCCAARCAATCTTGTTTTCTAGATTGTGGAATGATAGATTACCGGTTAGTGATGATGAATCTGTGGTTAATGAAGTCAAATACAAACACAAGTAAATTATGAAATAAGCAAAGAAGAAATTAAGTTATACCATTGTGATGGATTTTAGAATCCAAACACAACCTTCCTAGCTAGCCGAGATAGGAATGTTGCAACAATAATCCAAGATGGATTTTAGAATACACAAGAAATTTTCATCAGCTACATAAAAAAAAAAACCTAAGAATATACAGGAAATCGTAGCAAATGGCAGTTTTAGCAGTCACCGAAACTTGGTCAATTCCTAGCACCATTATTGGTTTGTTCGAATCTATTCCTAGCACTGTCGTAGCAATGGCACAACTCTTCAATCTCAAGGTAAAAGACAATGAACAATGTCTTCTTTTAAGGGTAGTTTTGATATTTCAAAAGTTTTAAGTGGCACATGTCATCACGTAATACAAAGAACTAACAAATTATTAACGGTAGGGACCTATTAGACACATTCTGAAAGTTCGAAATACTGCATAGACACAATTTGAAATTTGGGGGCTGACTTGACACAACCACTAAAATTCAGGGTAATGATCAGAAAATTTCCCTTTTTAATTAATTTGGCCTTTTCTTTAACTCCCCTCCTTGTGAAGATTGAACGGGATCTGCTCCTCACACTTGGGGCGCCTCACATGCACATCCACCGTGCATTGGGAACATCTCCTGTCAAAAAATAACTTATAAGTATGGAAGATGTTTCCAATGCATGGTAGGATGTGTGTGTGAGGCGTCCTATGTGAGGAGCAGATCCGGTCTTGATGAAGAATTGGTGTGATGAGAAAAGGCATGTGACAGCTGACAAGTAGATAAGGTATGCCTTTAATATATATATGTAAGGAAGTATAGTGGTCGAAATTATTACCAACTTCTTCTTCAAAAAATAAAAAAAGAATAATACCAACTTGTCAATACATATTATTAAATGGGGCATTCCGAGAATCGAACTCGGGACCTCTCGCACCCAAAGCGAGAATCATACCACTAGACCAAATACCCATATTTGCTTAATAAATCATTTATTAAACTAATCCAATTAATAATAAGCAGAGTTAATCAATACCCTCCAATGTTTTAATAAATCATTACTCTTGGGTTATGCATTGTCTAAGAAACTAAAAAAAGCCCAAAAATAGAGAGTAAGTTGCATTTTTATTAAGCTAAATTTAGAAAATATTTTTTATTTAGTTTAATTATATTTTTATTATTTTTTATCAATTTTAAATGATAAAATAATTTTTGATAAGTTTCTAAGTGCTTTTTTATTGTTTTTTATTTTGTTAATTTTTATCAATAATTTAAATTTTAATTTCTTATAAATTTTGTAAAACTAATTTTACTATTTTTAGAGTAAGTTAATAAAACTAATTTATTTAATTTGTTTAAATTAATAAGTTAACCATATAAAGTTGTTGATTTTTAATTTTCCCTTATTAAGTTACATTTTACATTTTTATTTTTAATATTTTCTTGACAAATATTACTTCTAATATGTTAAAAAATTCTATTATTTTTATGAAAGTTTCTCTTATTTTATCAATTAGTTAAAAAACTAAGTCCTTTTTTTGTTTTTCCAAAAAAATTCCCTAATGTAATTGTTTGTTTGTTATCTTCCCTTATTTTTTTTTCTAATTTTCTAATTAACAAAATTATTTTTAGTGGAAATGTCCCCTATTTGCTCTTTTTATTTTCAAAATTGCATAACCAGGTCGAGCTGTTCAAACCATATCTACCCAGTTCGGTATGAACTAATAATCAAAGCTAGTGGGTGGATGGTTTTTGCGTATTCAAGTTACCCGACCTTGCTTTTTAGTTTGAAAATTTCATAACCGGGTTGAATCATTTAAACCAAATCGGTCCAGTTCGGTATGAACTGATAATTGAAGCTAGTGGCTGGACAGATTTCAAGTATTTAAATTACTTAACCTTGCTTTTTGTTTTGAGAATTGCATAATCGGTCAAACCAAATTGATCCAATTTGTGGTATGAATTGGTAAAAGCTAGCGGATTAGATGATTTTCAAGTATTCAAATAACCCAATCCATGAATTTCATCTTCTTGATGCATAGCAATTTATCTTATACTTTATTCTTCTCATGGGAAATTAACAAAGTTGGAGAAACAACTTGATTCATTTGATCTATTATTCAATGTTTTAAAAAATTAGGTTCATCATAATGGAGCTATAAGACAAATAGAGAATTAATGTTCAAAAAAAATATATTTAGAAAATTAGAAGTGAAAGTTTTACATAATTTATAGGAAACATTTTTAGTGAATTTTTAATAGAACCTTTTTTTTTGAAAATAT